TTATTTAAAACTGTATATCATATAAATGTTTATATATATATATAAGTTATTTCTATAATTATAATTAAAGAAAAATAAGATTAAGCAATTGTCACATAAACTATAATTTATTTTCGTACAATTATTAAAAATAGTTTATTAAAATAAGTTATTAAAAACAATTTATGGACAAATTAAAAGTTATTTTAATATTTTTATTCAAATACTTAGGTCAAACATATATTCAAATAAAATGTAAATAGATTCTTTGAAATGTGCATGTATTTAAAAGTTTTAGAATATTAAATTTAAATATAATTTAATCCTATAAAATTAACTTATAAGATTATTTTATGTGAGATTTAGATTTTTTTTACTAATTAAAAAATGTGAGTACATAAAAATAAAATAAAACAGTGTTTGCTGTTTTTAAATTTATTTTATACGAATGAGCAGTGATTATAAATTAAATGCAAGTTTCATGAGTGATGAATCAGTGAAGAAGAAGAAAAGTGAAAGAGAAGTGAATAGGAAACGGAAAGAAACAGTTGGACAAGAGGTCAACAAGTGAAATGATGAGTTTTGCGGGATGGTGGAGATTGTCTTGTCAGATTTGAATCCCCTTGCTCCATAATCCAAATGCAGTGACAAAAGCTGGAACAAGACAAAATCGTGACAGAGACGATAGCATTGTTCTCGTTCCTAAGTCGCAGACCGCGAAAGAAAGTGAGTGAGAGAATTCTTATCTAAGAAGAATAAGGAAACGTTATCTTTGTTTATTGTGCCGTGATGTCTCATAGTGGTTTGCATGTCTTGGACAAGTTTAATATTTGTATTGATAATGTACTTCAAGTTCTGCACATACAAGACATGACACGTACATATTGGTATTATATAAAATTTTTATTATCAATTTTAGTTGGTATAAGGAGTAGTATTAAATTTGTGGTTCTAATAATTTTAGACATATAACAAAATATGTTATGAGAGAAATATATATTTATAATTTTCAATAAAAGTTAGTCACAATTTTAAATACTTCGTATTAGTATTACGATTATTAAATATATATATATATATATATATATAACATCTATTTTATATTTATATATAGTATGGAAAATTTTAATAAAATCAAAAATAACAAATTATAAAAAGATTAAGAAAACCAGAATTTTGGTGGTGTTTATGTTGTGGTCATACCCATGATTGCTTGCTTTTGGCTAGTGGGGGAAGTGATTCAAGATAGTGGGACCAGAAATTTGGATGTAAGAATCATGAGAAATATTAGTAAACAGAGTTTCTGGTATAGTTAAATGCATATGTACGTCATGAGCTTCTTGCAGTTTTGTAAGTTGTAAAATGACAGTTTGAGTCACCAGCAGAGTTCAACAAAAAAGTTTCTATATCTGCAACTATCACGTTAATCATGTGACTTCATGTCATGTTTGTAATATATATCAGACAACTCTTTTTCTTATTTTCTATATTTTTCTATTACCGTGACTCATGAGTTATTCAACCCACATATATATATATAGAAACAAATTGACAATTACAGAAGAATTTATAATTTTACTTGATCAGTGAGTCTATGTATACTTAATTCATCACCAATATTTATGAGAAATGATAATGATAGTTATGAAACAAATTTATTCATCATTTTATTGAAAGAAAAAAGATGTGTGACAATTAAGATAAATAATCCAATAGAGAGAATAATATTATAAAATATATATTTATGAAAAATATAAATCACATATTTATTAGAAATTAAAGCTTGCAATAACTGTATTCCTTATAATAGATATATAAAAAAATCTAACACATAGTATTATTACTAAATTAAATTTAAGTGCATTTAATTTATGATAACTAAAAAATATGAAATTGAGTTAAGTCTATTTGTTTTAAGTTTACAAGAAATTTAAAAAAACATATTAATATAGGGGAAAGAAATTTTTAATTAAAAAATAAGGGTATTGTTTATAGGAGAAAAAATTACCTATACATGCAGATTTACATTACTGTGATATATGGGTAATAGAGTGAAAATAAGTTAGTGAGAATAAGTTTATTTGTTTGATCGGTATGAAATAGAGAGAGAATAAATTAAAAAAGAATAGTTCTCACCTCAATTTTTTTTTTCTTCTGACATGCTTGACAAAATTGGAATAGACGAGAATTTCTTCTTGTGTAGTATTTGAAGAGCAGTTTTCGAAACTGCCTTTGTCTCATATAGGTATGGGAATAATAAGTTATGTTATGTAGATTTTGAATATATAGATTAATTGTGTTTTATAAAATTAATTTAAATTTGATCTATTATTTATATAAACTTATTTTTAAGGTTTGTCTTGACTTTTCAAAAAGTTTGTTATGATTTGTAACTTATTTCGTATTAATGACATTAAATAGGTTAATAATTTTAATTTTATATAAATTAATAATTTTATTTTTAAATATATGTATGTTTTTTTTTAAAAAAATATTATAAAATAGTAATTTATTTTATTATTATTAAAATTTAGAGTTTAAAATAAAAATAAATGATTAATTGAGGGACGTACTTATGAATACTCATGTACACTATTATACATTAACGCATGAACTATAATGAAAGAAAATAATCTTATAAAAAAAGACTTTTTAAATATTCTTTATATATCATTTGAAGTATTAAATAGCTAATCATGAAAATACATGATTGTGCAAGTTTTTATTTTCGATTTCTTGACTTGGTATGAATGAAAAATGTAAAATGTTGAAGTATAGTGAAAATAAAAAAAAATTTAATAATTTTTATTTTTTGATGTTATAAATTTATTTATTTAATTATATTATTAGTAATGCAATATATATATATATATATATATATATATATTATTTTTTATTATATCATATAAATAAATTTATGACCTATGAAGCCTAACTAATTTTTTTAATAAACTTAAGTTCAATCTTTTTTAAATAAATAAATTTTTGTAAAAATTTAAATATGGCCTTTTTATTAAATAAATTATTATCATTCTTATCAGCCACTCAAATGCACTACAATAATTGATTACCAATGATATTTAATTGATTAAAACTGGCAATGTAATTTTATACATTGAGTATGAAAAATTCATATTGATTACATTAGTTTATGTAATTTTTTCCCACCTTTTTAATTTAATTTTAAACAATTCACCTTAAATTAAATTTGTATTTTAATTTTGTCTTTTACATCTGATTTAGCAAATAATTATAATTAAAAATTATGCTAAATTATATATTATAATATTTTATTTTAGAATGGTAAATTAGTATTTTGAGTTATATTATAATTTTTTTTATTCATTCAGATTAAATAACTCTATAATATTATTAATTATTTATTTCTCTTTTTTTTTATAAATTAAGTATACTAATTTTCACTCTATTTTTTTTATCTAATTTTACTCACTTATTTATTTACTCCATTTTTCAGTTATTTATTTCCTTGCAATCAAATGGAACATTAGAGAAAGAGTATATGTACATAACTTTGAAAAATAGTAATTAAACACATGTCTCCAACTCTTATTTGTTGAGGGAAAAGAGTATGCAAACAAAGTGGCCTTTCCTACTGAATCATGTTAAGGAAAGGGAATGTTGCTATATATATATTCACTTGTTTAACCAAGACTATTGATTCATGTTTCAGTTGCTTTAAGAACAAAGTAAGGACTCATTTTCTGTATATGTGGGTGGAGACATGTATATATGTTACATAACTTTGTCTGACATATTTTAACTAATAATTTTACATAACAATTCGGGTATATTTTATTAGCATGCACGCGTAATATATACTAAATTATGATATATGACGGGGTAAAAAAGAATGTCATTATAGTCTTTTAAGTATTTGTGGGGTCTATTTTTGGCGCTCAAATAGTGAAAGTAAGAAATAACGTGACAGAGGGAAGCAAGGAAAAGTAATACATTCCTACTTTGCATTGTTTATTTCCTTTTTCAGTTCAGTGACATGATGCAGAATTGCAACGAGAGTTGATGCTCAGTGGCATTTAGCACGGATTTAAGGGCTCACTCTCCAACAATCATAAAGCTAATAAACATGAACCGAACCCTAAGCATTAGATGTTACATTTTTCTCTCTCTAGCACATTCAAACGTAGATTGACAGTGTTTTCATTAAACTTACTTTTAAACCACCACTTTTTCAGACACCAAATCACACCACACTGGAACTAATTATTGCAAAGAGCCTCAGTAACATCACAAAAATAAGGAAAATTAGTGTACATATATATAGAGAGAAAATGAGAACATGGTTAAAAAGCCTTGATATTGCAGACTAATTAACTAGCAAAAGCTACGTCTAGTCACTGCCAAGTCAGGGTGTTTTATGCGTATATTGCATTGATCAGTAACTGAAGAAGCCTGGGATTCAGTTCTCTGACGATGGAAATTAAAAGTGACACGCAACAGTGTTTATGAGTTGGTTGTTTTGTTATCAAATAAACAAGAAAGAAAACCAAAGATGGTATTGTATCATCGATTAAAATCCCCCTGTTTCAATCAACAACAGTCCAAAACACGTATAGCGGATTCTACAGAAATATCGAGGGAAACCGTAAACTTTCACCGACCTTTTGAAAAAATGTTATGTAAAGACAAAAATCACAGTTCATCAAAATTTGATCAATACCAACTTTAAGTAAATTCATTTAATAACAATTAACTTTAATGTCAGCGCAATTTCTCTTCCGTTAAAGTACATCTGATATGTGAAGTATATTGTAAGCAAGAGAAGCAGTCATTGCCATTGCTGGATAAGATCAATGTAAAGACTGACGCGTATTTTATTTGCAAGAGTATTAAAGTCACAATTATATTGAACTTGAACAACATGGATCCATTTCAATTTGATGAGTATACATATGAACAGTTGAACAAATACAATGAATTTAAAGACAAAAGCCTATGAATATGATCTTAATTCTTAAAATTTTAACTTTATATATATCCTTTCTGTTACATATATATGATGATGATTTGGACATAAACATAAACTAGAAGCTACCTAATTAACATAGGCCTATAAGATTTTTCTTAACCTATAAGGAGTTTTAGACAATTATACATTTGTCATAACTATAATTAACTATTAACTATTAATTATTAACTATTAACTATTAATTATAATTTATTCCTTTTGCCTTCCTTCTCTAGCTACCTCTATCTCTTTGAGTCATATCTAGGGCAAACCATTGAAATTCCCCCAAGCATGAACACCACCCCAGTTGTTGAAGTCATTCTGGTTCCCATTGTTAACGTTTCCACCATTGGCTGAAGCTGTTGCAGGGTTCACTGAGGAAAAGGGGTTATCAAAGAACCATTCGGTGGGTATAAGGGGCACTGTCTCCGAAGCCGCGCCTCCTTTCCCGGAACCGCCACCTGGCAGATTCTGTGGCTTCGAGATTTCGAGGTTCTGGAACAGAATCGGTTGCGGTTTCTGAATGTCAAAACCACCAACGGTTTGCGAATGCGAAACGCCGCTGCCGCCGCCGCCGCCGTAACTCTTTTGGCTGCTGCTGCCGCTGCCGCTGTCCCCACCGAACATCATGGCCGCGAAACGCTGCTGCTGCATCTTCATGTGCATGTCCTGGTTCATGTTGCTCAGTGACTCAATGGAGGAAGCGAGGTTGCCATGAACGGATTGCATCGAACCGGTCACCGGGTCAGGCAGTGCTGGGCTTTGAGACTGGCCCAGGGCCCAGAGGTTGGGACTGGGTGGAGCCAGGCCCATGAGAGGATTCGCGGCGGCCGCAGGAGGAGGGTCCAGTTGGAAGCCAGAAGCGTCTCCAAAGGAGGAAAACTGGCTGAACATGGTGGTGGGTGGAGGAGGAGGGTGGTGGTGATGGTGATGGTGGAGCCTGGAAGGATAGGACAAGCCTCCGACGTGAAACTCAACGGAGGGTGGAACTGAGAGGTTGTGAAATTGAAAGTCCTTGGGCTCATAGGAGAGTCTGGACGAGGATGATGACGATGATGAGGTAGTGGGCTTGGGCTTTTTGTTCTTTCTGCACCCTCCTCCAATTGGGACGTTGCGCAAGGCTCCACCGTTTGTCCAGTACCTTCGGCACGTCTTGCAGAAGTGCCGAGGCTGGGACAAGCTGTAGTTGTTGTAGTAGCAGAATTTGGTGTTGGAGGAGTCGCATCTGGGGCACTTTATCACGGTGTTTCTTGGGCCTTGGCTGGCCTCTTGGGCCTGGGGTGTTGGTGGCATGTCATCGGATGGTGGCGCCATTGAGGAAATAGGCGAAGGAGTGAAACTATCTGAGGGTGTGAAAAGGAAAAGGAAAAGGAAAAGGAAAAAAGGTTGAATGAGTTTGGGTTACTTTCTAAAAAGGGACTAGGAAGGAAGCTAATTGAATAACTTCATGCAGGGTGGAGAACTTGATGATGGGGGCTTGTGATTCTCATCATGGAGGGTGATTGAGAATTGGTGGAAGGTGTTGTTGTGTGTATCAGGTGATGAGGTGATGTCCTTTTAAAGGTGTGATGGGAAGGAACAAAGCCATACGCGTAGACAAATGTACGCTGAATCAAGAGACATGTCACACTAGAAAGAGGATGTCGTGGAGGCAAATGTGAGGGAGAGAGACGAAACCTAAGAAACGTATGTAGAGGATCGGAAACCGTTATCAAGTGTAATGTGAACATGATCAACTACTGTAATACTAACAAAATTAGCTACCTAGCTTTGCATTAAACGCTTAATTCAATAATGGGGGATGTATCTGTATTGGAATATCATAAAATACTTATGGTATAATATTTTTTTTCTTCTTTATTTACTTTCACTCATCTTAACTCGCACCTTGTTTCTTCATTTGCATTGACAAAATTATTCAAGTGTGTTTTAAAAGCAGTATTACACTAATCAAAGTAGTGTTACACTAATAAATGCAGTCAATCAAGTAATAAGTCGCAATTAACAGTAATAACAAGATAATTTAGTGTCTATTAAATATGTTTAAGTCATGGGTAAAAAAAAATTACTCACTTCAGAAAAGTCAAATATGAGTGAAAAATATATTTATACAATTTAAATTTGTATATAAATAAATCTTAATTAACATTATTGTAATTAATATTATCATCTCAAAAATGTTTTTTATTTACTTAGGATTCTATGTCTAATAATTTTTCTATATTCTAAATATCAAATTTTAATGAAAAGTAATATAAAAAGAAAATTGGTTTTAGTTAAAATTAAATAATATTAACTAACTTTCTTAATAAGCACATAAGTTAATTAGTTAAATTTGTTTATAATGAGAGTGCGATTTTAAGATAAATTGTACAATAATTTGTATAATATTATATTTTATATTTTATCTTTCTCCATCATTATTAAATATAATAACTATTTTTATGAATTTTTGTATACGTGAATAATTACTCATAGAATAAAATTAGATTTTAGTCTAAAAGAGTAAATCTTCTCTCTTTTAGGAATCTCATTTTTTTTGAGTAATTTTACATGTCTAATAATTTACACAACAATTTATTATAACATTAATTTTTAAGTCAATCTCTCGCCATTTATAACATTTTAAATTTCTCTCTTTTACTCTCGTTTTATATTTATGTTGTATAAATTCTACAATTTATATCATTTTTATTTAATTTGAACAGAATACAATATTTTCTGGAAAAAAAAAACTCCTACTCAAATAAGATAAAATTACTATGTTTAATAAAAAAAAAATCTTTGAATATTTAATATAATTATATACTTAAAATTTAAACTCGAAGAATGCTAATTAAATTTGTGTCTTGTTGATACTTTCAAAAGAAGAAAAAAAAGTTTGTATGTAATAGTTGATCTACACATTCATTAATTTTTAATATCTCATTTTTGTTAAAATATATTGAATGCAAAATATATTATATATATTAGACGACGTAAATTTACGTCGGAGATGTTTTGCGCCCGACGTAAAAAAGGGCTTTAAAAGGGGAAAAATGACGCAAGAATTTACGTTGGCTAGTGCTAGGTCCGACGTAAATTTACATTGGCTATGGTGTAGTCCGACGTAAATTCTGGCATTTTTTTTAGAACTTTTGTTGTTTTTTGATATCCCCAAAATATATATATATATAATAAATTAATTTATATTTCACAACTGCAAGATATTCATTTTGCATAAAAAGAATAAAAGAAGTGAAATCAGGTCACTGCAAGGTGCAAATACTAATAATTTTATTCTGTTTCATGACTAATAATAACGCTTTCTTTTCTCAATTTCAACAACAACAAAAAAAAAAATTCAAAATCTATCAGAGACATCTCTAACAAACTTTTTCATCATATACATGCAAGCCATTGCGTTCTCTTTGAAGTTGCATATACGCGGATTATGAGACTTCTTTTTTTTTGTATAATTGGTAATTTTTTAGCCACAAACATTAAGTTATACATAATTTTAAGTTTAAATTTCGTTATGATTTAAATAATCTTTTCAATTATTAAAAAAATTCATAGAATTATATTTGAAGAATTGACCGACAAATTTATTAAGGAATCAGAATATCTTTCAGAAGGGTTATAAATTTTTCTCATTTAATGCATTTTCTTATCTAACACATATCTTTGTCCCTTTCTATCTTTTCTAGAAGATGAGTCATCATGTAATTATTACCTATACTTCTTTAATAGTTTTTCCTATTATTTTTATTGGCTTCATTAATATTCTCTTTCTCTTTATATTTATATTTCTCTCTCTATACTTATCTATAAGTAAAAATAACTAAATTTACACACATTAAAAAAATTTATTAAATGTATTTATTTTTTATAATTAAGTATAAAATACGCGTTATATTTTTTAAAATATCCTTAACTATATTCTTGATAAATAGCGTTTTCATTCATTATCATAGGAGTATCTTTAAATTAATAATATTAAATAAAATTGATTTGATTAAAATTTATTTATATTTTAGTTCAAAAAATTTAAGTACTTTTTTATATGTAAGTTTATAGTATGGGTTGCAATGAAATCGAACTAACTTAAAAATAATTCAAAACTTGATTCGATAATTAACTCATTAAACTTGATTCATGAACCAAATGTACTAAATTTGAGTTAAAGATTGAATTTGAAAAATAAATGAGTTGAATATGAGTTTTGTATAATCTAAAAAGTTTAGTTTATGATTTGACACGACACATAAATATATAATTTATATAATTAATTTTTATATTTAATTTTAGCTTATTAAAATTTGAAAGAACATTTAAAACTTAGTTATACATCAATAATAATAAAAGAACTAAAAACTGTAGAATTTTATGGTTAAGAATTAGTTTTCTACCATTTTATGTAAGTTGAAGTAGTTTTAATTTATGTAGATTTTAGTTGTACTCATGTTTCTTTAAAGTCATATCTTGTAATCTTGTAAAAGTAATAAAATAAGTTATGTTTTGTCTTTTAAAGAAAAATAAATAATTATTTTATTTAAATTATATTATTAAATTTAAAATTTGAAATGTATAAGATTCAAAAATAAATTGAGTCTTTATTCATTCAAGTTAACGAATTGAATTGAACTACTAGCAAGCTTAAATTGATCCGCGCTTAAGTAAGGTCAGGGATTCGAATCTTGCCTTGTGTATGTAGTTGCGTTAAATCTTCGGGCCAGCTATCCCACCCTTTGAGGTGCCTCCAACGTAGCAGGAGATTAGTCACTGCTATCGGCGGTAGATACTCTAGGGACGAACTAAAAAAAATTGAGTGGAGTTTAAGTTAAAAAAAAAAAAAAGTTCATATCAAATATGAATCAAATTGCAAGTTGAGTCAAATATTATTTAATCAAATTTAATTGAATTCGACTCAACTCAACTCACACTACTAGAATTTCTCTTATTATATGCGATTTTTTCTCTGAATTTTTCATAAAAATTCGTAGGAAACGTTGTTTCTACATATTTTCCTGCGAAATCTTATCCCTAGGTAATACCTTCATGAATAATATATTTATGCAAATTTTAAAATTCGCAAGAAAGTTTTCTACGAAAAAATTTGCAAGAAAGTTTTCTGTGAAATTTTCTGCGAATTTTTTACAAAAAAAAAAATCAAAGAATTTACTATCTGGAGATAATTTTTGTATAATTTCTATTAATAATTCTTCGGCTTCCAAATGCTTACAATGAATTTATTTGAAGTATGTAAATTATAGGTCTAACACTCAACCATACAAAATCAACTTGTAAGGTGAGTGTTGCCCCTAACTTATATATTCTTTAATTGTTTTATTTCTAATCTATGTGAGACTTGAGGTAAATCTTTTAATTCTTAAGCTTATAAATTTTATATATTTTTTATTTTTTCTGCGAATTAAAATTGGCAGGAAAATCTACAAGAAAAGTTATCTGTGAAACTTTTATACCATTTAGTAAACATTACTTGCGAATTTATTTTTACAAGAAAATCTGTAAGAAACAAGATAAATTTCTTACAACATTTTCTACAAATTTTTACCATGAAATTTTTTTTTCTATGATCATTAAAATTGTAGCAAAATTTGCAAAAAAAAAATGTGGATTATTTTTCATAAAAAAATTTGTAAAAAATTACTGTAAATTATTTTTTGCAAACAAATTTTAAAAAAAAATTTGTAAAATTATTATTGTAAGAAAAAAAAAATCATACTAGATATATACACATAATGAGCTAAAATTATAGATAATAAAAAGAGAAATCATATATACACATAAGATATAAAATTATAGATACAATAGGAAGAAATTGTATGAATAATAAAAAGTAAAATATAAGCTACAAGTGACACTAGTCACAGCAAAATAAATAAATAAATAAAGTGAGCAATAGAATAAGATAGCACGGTTGTAGGAGAAGAAAACATAGTGAGTCGTAAACAGAAGTAGTGCCAGCACCTTATCTATTTCTTTTCTTGACACGTCCCTTTAGAAGTAAATATTAAGATTAAGTGCACCTTTCTAACTTACTTTCAAGAGCCCCAAAAGGCTTACACGTGTGATATTTCTCCTACATAATTAATCAACTCATATCACATCATTAACTTTTTAGTTAATTGCAATTGATCGATGTACTATATTTTAATTTTTTAACAACATTGGGTATATCAAAAAACAACAAAAGTTCTAAAAAAAATGCCAGAATTTACGTCGGACTACACCATAGCCAATGTAAATTTACGTCGGACCTAGCACTAGCCAACGTAAATTCTTGCGTCATTTTTCCCCTTTTAAAGCCCTTTTTTACGTCGGGCGCAAAACATCTCCGACGTAAATTTACGTCGTCTGTGACAGGCGACGTAAATTTACGTCTCCCATATAAATATGGAGCCTTTTCCGACGTAAAAACCTTAAAATATCCGACATTAAAGACTCATTTTGTACTAGTGGGACCATCTTCTATATCCATATCAGGGAATAACAATTTAATGCTTTCTGAAGCCTTAAGGGTATTTTTTATATATATATATTAATTGAAATTCCTTTTCTGTTTTGTTTTCTCTTTCTTTTTAACGTATATATAAAATATAATTATTGAATTATAA